TCTGTATGTAAGTCAGAACTGGCGGTCAGTTTCAGCAGCGGCTGAATCTGGACGCCAGTTCCGACTTACATACAGATTCAACTTAAGAACAAACCTACAGTCCCTATCTTGTACGTAACCCGGGGACTGCCTGTATTAAGGATGCATTTTTCCTATTGCTGAATTGGGAGCAAATGAATGGCTAGATCATCTGTCACAAGTTCAGGTGGTAATGGGAGGTAGACAAACATTCTTAACTCTGTTTTCCTCTCCTAGGGCATTCTTCAAACCCAGTATCAACAAATGGCTATTGCTTTACTGAAAGCTGTGTAAGGGTCCCACCTCAGAAATCCAGCCCATCTCCTCTTAGTTCCAGAAGTGAGCAACTTAGTTCAAAGCATGAAGACCTTGTTCCTAGTTTCAGCCAACTGTCAGTTACTGTGGGGGGTGTTTCTGAAGAGACACCACCTCATACACCGACGAAGAGTGGGCCACCTCAGTTTTCTTGTGCATCTTCCAATGACCGCAGCTCCCGGCCACTACCTCCACTGCCCATTTCTGAGGACCTCTCTCCAGATGATGATGATAGAGAGGTGGAATTTTTAACCAGTTCAGACACTGACTTTTTGTTAGATGATTGTGGATTTTCTCCTTTTAAATCCAGCGCTCCAAGTAGACGGAGCTTTAGGGGCTGCGGACAGATTAATTATGCCTATTTTGATGCCCCAGCAGGACCTAAAACAGAAGATGCCAACTCTGCAACTAACTTAAATGGTTGTATTCAAACACCATGTCCTCCTCCACAACAGCTGCATCGGCGTTTGCGGAGGTCTCATTCAGGGCCAGCTGGATCATTTAATAAACCAGTAGTGAGGCTATATAGCCACTTAAATAGGGCTTCTCCCAATTCCGATGAAGACAAACCAGAGGTACCCCCTAGGGTTCCCATACCACCTCGGGTACTGAAAGCGGATTATAGAAGGTGGTCGGCAGAAGTCACTTCTAGTGCATACAGTGATGAAGACAGACCTCCCAAAGTGCCCCCCAGAGAACCTTTATCACGGAGCAATTCCCGTACACCAAGCCCTAAAAGTCTGCCACTGTACCTCAATGGGGTCATGCCCCCAACACAGAGCTTTGCCCCTGATCCAAAATATGTCAGCAGCAAAGCGCTACAAAGACAAAACAGTGAGGGATCTGCAAACAGGCTCCCTTGCATTCTTCCCATTATTGAAAATGGTAAGAAGGCCAGTTCAACACACTACTATCTGCTGCCCGAAAGGCCTCCCTATCTGGACAAGTATGAGAAGTTTTTCAGAGAAGTGGAAGAAACCAGCTCAAACCCAGAGGTGAAGTCCTGGGCTGGTGACTGCACCACAGCTTCTGCCCCAGCAAAGCAGGACTCCAAAGCTAGAATGGACATGGTTGGCCACATGAAACGAAAACACCTGTCTTACGTGGTTTCTCCCTAGATTCGTGAACATAAGTCACAGTAGTTGATTAGGATGCAATAGCTCTTAACCACATTGCTAAATTTTTTTGAGATTCCAGGAAAGATTCTCAAATAATGAAGTAGTAGAATTCTTCCCATTTCAGCAGAAAAGTGGTGTATCAATGGTAAAGTCATCTTATGCTGCATATCTCTCTGAATTGTTCGTTTGGACTAAGCCTGTTGTGGTCTGCGTAACTGAAGACTGTAAAGCGTTGATGGAAACACGTGGAGTAACCATAGCCTTTTTGGCCAGTTATACACTATTCCTAGAGTAATATATTTTGTAAATGCATATTGAGAGACAAATCCAGTTTTGATGTCGAAAACTGAAGTCAGGGAAGAAAATGCAGTACAGTATTGTTTATATCACAGGCATTTCCAAAATGCTAGGCTTGGCATTTTAAAATATTTTGTGGAACATGGTATTGCTGGGAACAAATCCTGTTCTCTTTAGCTAGCATGTGCCAAGCTGTGGCTTGAAGGAAATTGACATCCACTTAGACTTGCAAGTGAATTGGAAACTGTTTTTAATATTTCAAATATTTTGAAAAATTAGTAGGATATGGTAGAATTTAGTGAAGTAGTTTCCAACAGGGGTTAGACTTCTGCTTTATTTTTTATGGTGCCTCTTGGATTCTTTCACCCACTAACTGGCACATGCCAGAATTCTGCAGATTTTCCTAACAGAGACTTGGACCAGCTACTGCTAACCATCACTCATTGCGCTCTCCATAAAGGGTCCAAGGAATGCATGTTAGTGATCTAAGATTGACAGGGAAAAATTGCTAGTAAATTGTGAGATATGACTACATGCCCATCTAGTATACAAATGTCTGACTGTATTATAAACAGAAACAAAACACAAGCTGGTCTTGTGTTCTGGTTTCTGTTCAGTATTTTCTGGTTGTATGGCTTTTGGGTTTTTGGTAAATTAAACATGATTCCATTTACAACTGTGTTAGTCACATCTCCCTTTGCTTCAGATAGTGCTGCTTTCTGTTTTTTTATTCCTTAGGCTGCCTCATTGTTCCATTTAGATCCAGTGAGAAGCAACCCTTATGCACAAGACACAGCTAATGTATATTTTCACTTTTTTATCCGATTATAGATAGGCACAAGAGAGGGGTGCTCGTTAATGGAGGTACATTATTATAATGCTCTCCTCCTAACAGAAATGAACAAGCTGTTTACAGTTTAAACTGCTGAATGAGATATTTGAGCTATTTTAAAGCTTACTTTTATGTTTTAGTACAAACAAATGAAGGTGAAATACATGCTATAGAAAATGCACTGATATTTCTGCATCATGTGTACAGTATTGAACAAAAGGATTTTATTCACTGTTTTATTTTGAATATTATGTCTTGAATTTAATAAAGTTATAATACTTATTTATGATACATGTAGTGTTTCTTGATTTATTTGGTTTATGCATTTTAGTTTTCAGTGTGATTTTTTTTCTAAAAAAAGTGTGTAAATGCAAACAATGTTACATTTTAAGACTTCCCAGTTAACACTCCAGTCATCTGAAGTGGGCTGTGCCCACAAAAGCTCATATCACCATCTAAATGTTTTGTTAGTCTTTAAAGTGCTACCATACTATTTGTTGTTTAAGTTTATCCTGTACAGACTAACTCGGCTACCCCTCTGAAGTGGTTAACTTCTGCAATTTTGAGCTAATGCTAAGGTTCCTACAGCATTGAAGTTGCATATCTTCTGTTCTTGTTTCATTTGGTTGTGTAGCTTTGCCAGCCTTTTGTAGGGTGTGTGTCTAACTTACTGTGTTGACCAATAAGATGTGCCATAAATTCATGATGCACAAGATTGGTAAGCCTATTATTATTGTTTCCGGTAGCACCCACAGTGAACTATCCATTGTGCAAGCACAGGAGAGGTCAGCAGGAGTCCTGACCTGAAAAACTTTACGGTAGAGGAAGGGTAGGTGAAAGCATGTGTGGGTTTTTTTTTTTCCTCTCTAGGAGAACGCTCTACTCAAACTTTTCTGCTCAGTAGCAAAGAAGCTTGGCAGCATTGTGCAGGTCAAGTCCTCGACTTAATGATCTTGTGATATGAGCACTTCCACTATTAAGTCCAAATAACCCTGTGTGGTAGGCAAATGATATTTCAAGATAAGTAGGTTTCATGTTCATTGGTATTACATGAGAGCTTAACTTGCACATTTAGGGCTTTTTATTTTTGCAACAAAAGCCAATTATTTAAGAGTTATGGTTAGAGAGACTTCCAGGCAACCCCCGCATGAGCGCCTCATAAATATTCCCACCACTGCTGTAGTCCTGGTGATATGATGATTTTAACCACAATCTCACCCAACTCAGTTTGGACCTTTGGTGCCATCATAAGCTGGTCACATATGGACTTGCAGCTTCACTGAGATCCAGTGGTTCAGGGGAGAGATGTATGCTAGGCTTGTGCTGTCCCTCTAGTCCTCTGCAGTGAGAGTTGCTGTGGGAACCCAAAGGAAAGGCAAGTGGCTATCAAAAACCACTTGTTTTTCCAGTCCTAGTGTCTGATCTGGGCCCACCTACGTGAGTCTGCTCACTCTTCTCCCCTCCACCCCCCACTAGTTTGAGATCTCCTGGAGTACGTCATCTCAGCATTATTTCTGTGCTTGGGTTTCATAGTCTGAGAGCACTGAGGCTTTTGTGGTTTCCTCTGAGGCAGAGTATGAGTTTAGCAATTGCCACTACAGCCTATCATTAAAGTGGAGCTATATTTAATCACATGCTCCAACACAGGACACATTCTCACATTTTCCTGCCCACCTGACAAACCAGCTGTAATGCTAAATTGCAACCTGTTTTCAGTGCTGATGATCAGCCAGGCTGTATCCTAATAGGTGTCACTTCACTAGAAATGTTTCTCCTTTTGCTTCCACCTCGTCATTCTGTCTCTCCACCCAAGCTGCATGACTAACCCCCATGTACTCCTCCCACTCCTGTCTCCAGGCCTTGTTCCACGTGTGCCCAGCTGCCTGAAAACCCCTCCCTAACCCAATCTGTCATGCCTTCATCTTTCAAGTCTCTCCTTAAAGCACTTTGCTTCCTGAAAGGTTTGAGCCTTACTTCTGCCCTCAGCAGAGCATTTTCAGATGAACAAAATACAAAATCAAGATTAAACTTCAATAAAGTGGCTATCTCCTCACACTCAGCACTACTGCAATTTGTCATTCCAGCCCTTGGCTGTATTCTTTTGACAAGTTCTTCATACTGATCTCTAAAGTGTCCACCACACAAGCAGCCACCTTAACTTGCTGTGAGAAGGGTAGCCCAGGCATCAGTAATTCTATTTTTATAGGGGACATTAGACTTTATTTAGATCTAATAAAGCTGGTGTACGTTGCAAGTAATCGTTATCCACCAATTCCCTCTGTAGCAGCAAAAAGTGGGCACTGAAAAAGCAAAAGCAGTCCTGCAAGTTGTCATTTATCAAGCTGACCTATCATTGTATGAGAGGCTAGTAGTATCTGTGTACCTTTGGGTTAAATACATGAAATTGATACTTTTGATAGCAAAAGCTAGTCCATGCTCTGGACAAGTTGTTTTTCCTTGTTTGCTTTGCTGCATTCATGAATAGTAGTAAATAGTCCAATTTCAGAAATGTTTAATGGCCTCTTCTAGGAAGAACCTCTATACTGCAGGAATTCCCAGTCATATATGCTCAGTGCCAATTTATTGCAAAGTATATGAGCGTGGATAGTGAACTGAACACTTATGTGCCCTGAAACTCTTTGTTTGCCAGTGTAGCTAAAAAGAAACCAGCCCCTCCTTCCTCTCTACTAAAATGTTCCATTCTACCAACGCACCCCTACCATCCTCTAAGCTTCACATCTCTGGGAATTTTCTACCAAGGAGGGTGAATTTTAATCAAGCAATTAGTGTGGGTTCAGAGGCCAGCATTGGAAGATGGTACCCTAGCTGTATTCCTTTTGTTTATGGTGGCAGAAACATTTTCAGATGCTTAGCACTTTGTTTTTGGGTGTGTGTGGAAAGAATAGAGGTGGCAGAAGTCCCTCTCCTCTGGGTTGAAATGTTTCCTATTCAAGTAGTCTTGTCAATCTTCTGCCCCAAGCTGTATATGGGCCTGTTACACTTGTTTAGCAATGATAAATTTGGGAAGCTCCTGACTTTTTTTTTTTTTTTGGGTGCATGTAAACTCTGACCTTCCTTTCACAGATTATTTTTTCCTTTACTGAATTTCCAAAGAATTTTGCAAGGTTTTAGTGACTTAACTCTTCTTGACTTGAACAGGACTTCCACACTACATGTCTAAATTGATAATCAGTCTCGTGAGCTGCTATAATTCTTGTTTGACAAATGACGCACAGACCTAGAACTGAGCTGTGTGAGCTAACAGACCTTATTTCATCAAGGACTATGCAAGATTGTTGCATACGACAATGCTTTCCCTTTAAAAAGCTTTCGTGATGTGGTTTCCCCAAGTACTCTGAACCTATTCAAGGCTTAATGCTCCTTGTTGGCAGCAAATTTAGGAAGGCGCTGACTAAGGAGGTGGGGAAGTTTCTTGTGTACATTCCCAGACAGTGTAGGATTTCTGTATATTTTTGGGGCTAAATCTTGGGTGGGTCACAAGTCCTGTTTCCAGCTACCCAGGTGAGTAATCAGCCTTTCAGCTGTACAGGCAGCTCTGCAGGTTCCAGCCAACAGAGGTGGTTCTGCTCATCTACTAGCATGTGCTAAGACTTGTCAAGGCATCGCATCTTGCTTGTGCAAGAAATTCAGATTGTGTCTTTGAATGTGCAGAGGTTGGGCAGCATGCATTCATCTGGCTAGAGCTGAGCACTGCATAAGAGGGAAGCCCATGGTCAGGGCAAGCAGCTTTCAAAGTAGATGTGACTAGAACTAGTTCTTACTGGTGGAAGTTGCAGAAGCCACATTGCTTGATGAATTTGAAACCAGAAAAGGGAACTTTCCTGCACTTGCCCCTCTTGGATGGCTTTATGGTGATTTAATATTTCTAGACTAGATGCCTATATAAGGGATAGTAGATGCTTCCACCATTCCTCTAGAATCCCCATCTCTTCCTACCAGGAGCCTGAGTTACCTGCCCCATAACACATTGCTCTGCTTCAGTGTAAGCCCTTTCTCAGAATAGTGTATTCATCTTGTCAAAGAAAATGACCCTGTGAATTCCTGCCTAGGATATATAGTTGTCATGCTGGGCACCTTCTACCAAAGGTTCTAGAGTTTTTGCTAACCTCACAGAGCCAAAGGAGAATTTTTTTTTCCAAACTCTAACTCCTTAGAAATTTTCAGCACCATTAACAGTAATGGCAACAGACTAGTATTCCCAGCTGTCAACTGAAACTGGTCCCATTGAAGTTAAAGTAATGCATGCCTCTATAACTGGAGTTCACATTTTCTTCTAGTCTCACCCTTGGTTTTACTCCTATAGAAAGACTTGGAGATGCAAATTCAGCTTTGGAATAACAGATGTGATGCTCTTGCTAAGCTGCCATATTTGCAAGGCTATAGGTGGTAGATTCCTGGGCAAGGGTGCTTCAGATGTCCAGTCCTCTGAAGAAGTGGGCTGTGCCCATGAAAGCTCATGATCCCATCTCCATGTTTTGTTAGTCTTTAAAGTGCTACTAAACTATTTAAGTTTTTTGTTTTACAGACTAACTCGGCTACCCCTCTGAAGCTTCTAGAAATCAGTGTTATGCACAGGCTAAAAGTTGGGTCCTTTTGGGTTTCTTTCTAGTGGATTGTTTATATTACTGTAGTTTCTAAAAGTCTTGTTCCTAGACTTCACGCCTTCCATGCTAGATTAGTCATAAACACAGAATAAAAATATTATGAACTCCACAGAAGGAAGAAAGTTTAAGATAAGATGTGGATAGACAATAATATGGATACACAAAGCCAAGTGGAAGCAAAAGGGTAATGTTGGAAGGGTGGATGGAACTTGCAGCATAGCAGAAATGCCTGTTTCCCTCAGGTTAAATGTAAGAGGAAAAGCCTTAAACACAGGATAACTAAAGGTCTTGTGATTATCCCTTTCTGCCAGGCTCCTACTGTGAGCATTGTATTCATTGCCAGATACAGCTGATCTAAGAGGGGTAGTATTAACAAAAGGGAGAAGTTGAAGGATGTTTTTTGGCAGCTGTATCGCAGCTATCGATCGCTACTGGAAGTCTAGTACATGGTTTTAATTATATGAACTTTATTTGTCAATATAATTGTAAAGAATTCTAAGTAGTGACATGGTGATTAGCCGTTGTATACACTGAAAGAGGTGTTGCATCTCCTCCCATCCTGCATTGTAATTCTGGCCTTGCTTCAGACCTACCCAAAATGCCTATTTCCAGCCACACACAGCTCATTATTTTTTTGAGTCACATAA